ATCAGATTTTCATTTATCAGATATTTCCAACAGATACACGTGACAATGAATAGACTTGGCCAATTTTCTTAATTTGGCAACAAAATCATGAAACTATATTGAAATATTGGAGATTACTAACTCATTGTGGTTTGTAAAGACTTCTCTTTGAAATATAAAGGCATATTCTCCTCAAATCGCGTTATTCTTCTTTTCTTCTACATCGTGTCCATATTTTCCTCAAGTTTCAAGTGCAATGATTTAACTTCGAAGGTTTAATTCGTGGGTGGGTTAAAAGCTGACTTAACGCGATTCTTACGAGGGGCGGTGCTACAAACTATTTGTCACATAACTGGCTTTGAATTGTTGGTTATTCTGGGCCACTATACTTTGATTGCACCCTTCCACAAAACAGAAACCAAGAAGACAAAAAGAAAGCAGGAAGAAATGGGCGTGATGAGCATAAGCGATAATAGAAGCACACAGGGACAGAGAGCAGTTTAGGACTGACACTGAAGTAAAAGAATTCTTGAGAGTCTAGACACAACAAAAGAACAAGCGAATTCCCAAACCCTAACATCAAACGTCCTGACTCATATGTATGTTGGTGGATATGTGTGCGAATAAACTTCAGGACAATAAATCGAAGTAAGAACGTACTTGGAATGACAAAAGAAAATGCAGAAATGAAGAACAATGAATGAGATTGTGAACCGATGCTATTGTTCAACACTATGTCTTTAAAATGAATTTGCCCTACCAAGGTGATCACGAATACTTGGCAATCGTCTCCCAAGATACAATGGTTCCCTCCTTGCAATAGAAGCACTTCAAACTCTAAAGAATCGACGAACTCAAAAATGGAACGAATTCTCTACTTTCGAATGATTTTGATGCAAGAAAAACAATGATTTTGGAGTGTTTTGATGCAGTGTAATCAAAGCATATAAATTATAATGATTTCAGACCACCAAGGGTGTCCAATTATAGATGTTAAGGGTTGTGGTAAGAGAGACACGTCCCAAAATTCAGCATGTTTCACGAAGAGACACAGTTCTTTAGGCCACTCGCTAACCTCCTAGAACGTGGTTAGAGAGCTCAAAGCAGGGGAGTTCGCCGCTCGCAGAGCGCTAGGCGGTATCATATGCTAAATTCTCGTTTTTCCTCATAAATTTGGACAACTAGTTCTCATTCATCCGGAATTGATTTTGAGAT